TGCTCTTAGATTTAAAAGTTTACAGCAACAGGGGTGCATTAAATTAAAAATCGACTCACAGTATCTTAAAGTAGAGATTTCAAGCTTTCATTTGAAAAAAAGTTCATCATTTTATGATGATTTTTCGCGGAGTTACCGTTAACCAAAGTTGACCAATTTTTGCTCAAAATTTTTCTATGCCATAATTTTTTTGAGCAGTGTATTTCTATGCCATAATTTTTTTGCGCAGTGTATTTTGGTATTTAATTTTCAACTTTTCAATGTGCTTTTGTGTTCAAAAAGTTGAGAAAGAGAGAGAGAGAGAGAGAGAGAGAGAGAGAGAGACAAGAAAAGACGAAGGAAGAGTAGAGTCTACTAGTTGCTTCGCAACCAGTTGCTCCCGTCCGAGAGTACGAGTTCGTCGGAAGTGTGCATGAGCAAACAGTAGCCGAAAACGATTTTTTCTCTGCTCCGCTTGAAAGGGATGTTTCTGCAGTACACGATCACGCAGTGCGCATTCGAGCGCGCGTGGTGGAGAACTTGGCGTCCGATCCAGAAGCCCCAAGCTCCGTTTCTACATATCCTCGTGGGGGCGCATCGCCACGCCTCCCGCGTCTATATAAGCGCCACGATCGCGGCGGAACCCTCACTCGCACCCCAGTACAGTCGGTGGTGAGCCGAGGGTGAGACTCCTTCCTCGAGCGAAGGACCAGCGGGAGCCTGCGGCACAGACTTTGCGTTTCATCTCTGTCGGATTTTCTCGTGAGCGCGAACTGTGAGCCGAGCGGGCACAGGTCGTGAAGCATGAGGGCTTGGTTGCTGTGGTTGTCCCTTCTGTTGGTCGTCCTGGCCGATAGGAGCTTCGCCAATCCCTACTTTGACGAAGGTGGTGAGTTACAGTCTAATCATTTTTTGTGCGTTAATGGACAGCCATAAACCACTTCAAACATAATGTAAAATAACTCAGAAGCTGGACAGTATTTTAGAGAAAGTATAAAAAAACGTTGCAAAAATTTGAAACGTTTTTACGGTGACTTAGATCTTACGTTTGCGTTTGCTAGGAGTCATTGTTACCGATATGTAAATTCGAATTATTTAATTTCCACGTATTCGAAAGTGACTAAATAATTATGTATTTATGAGCACTATGATGCAAATAACCGATTTTTTAATGACATAATTACTATAAGGGTAAGAATTATAAAAGGAGCGGCATATTTATTATACTCTACAAATCTTTTTTGCAAGCAACGATTAACAAATCTCCATTTAGAAAACGCAACAAATTGATATTTGTATCGCGTACTTACGTAAAGAGAATAAAAAAGAGATATATTGTGAAATAAAAATTTCGAAATTTTTTTCTAACTGAATTAATTTTTTGTTTACTTTGATGTCACCGGCTAACGAAAAGTTTTTGATAAAATATCTTTATAATTATATAAAAAAGAATAACTTTTTCAATATTTTTTAGCCGCAGGCTAAGTGTGATATCAACTATTTTTTTTATGCAAAATGTTTTTTGATAGAAATCCTTTTTTTATTTTTTTTTAATATCATTGGCATTACCGTGCACGCGTAATAAAAATAATGCCGTGTATCTATCAAAAATAAATATGTACATTGACTAAACAAATTTTTACAGCACGCTTTACTTTGTAAAGAAATTTCTACAATTCATTATATAATTTTTGCGAAACATATGCTATATACATATTGCAGGAAAATATATGTATATCACGATCGACATGCTTGGCAATATTCGATACTTCGACCTTGTTTATATTTGCTTGTTTTCGAGACCCTAACGATTCGAACGGTCATTGGAAATCTGTGAGCTGTCGTCAGTCGTTCCCTAGCTGCGCTGCGAATCGACAGCAATTACAATAAATTTGCCTCACGGTATATCTTTGACTTTATTTTGTTTCTAATAACTTCTCCTGCAATATATAAGTTATGTAATTGATCTAATATAAGAATTTAAATCACGTTATGTATATCAGTCGCTCATAAATATAATTAACGTAAATTAAGTATTATTATTACTTTGGATAACATAAATTTTGTCACGTTACACATTACCCGGCCATTCTTTACAAAAGTATTTATGAAATTAAAACTATATATTTACACATATCAATGATTCTTGAACATAAGTTTAATACACAAAAATTATGGTATAAATATTGTGTTTCATGTGTGCGTGAATAAAGTTTTCTAGTGAAAACGTATCCCGTACAGAAAGTTATATTAAAACAAATATCTCTTCTAAAAGTGAGATCGCTGGAAAATCTCGTTGAAAGGAATTGGTAAGATTTACCTTGCATTTGGATCTCTTCAAAATTAAATCTTTTGAATAATATCAAAGAATTAGATGACAGAGTGAGTTATCGGGTTTTTTCGAAAAATACACAAACTTCTTAAAAGGTGGTTTAGCATTTGCAAACTTTTTTGATTGGTATTCTAATTTATTTAACGTTTCGGAATTAATCGAAGAGACTTTGCGAGTATTAAAACTTGCAAATTGTAATAGCACACTTTGCTCGCCAGCGTTACAATATACTCGAAACTTGTTGAAACTTGTAATACGCCTAGACATAATACTGACTTTTTTACGATCGTGCAATTTGCTAAGTCTTGCGTTTATTATATGGTATACAAACTTATAATGGTAAATAATTTAATTACAAATTAGATATCGCGCATGTATACGCCAAATACGGTCTACCACTGACAATAGCAGACATAAATATTCTTTAAATATGTCTGCAAATTAACTAAAAGTCATGTAAAAATATTTTATCGCAAGAATAATATCTTAAAGCAGAAATTAAACAAGCGGAGATATTTTTATAGAAAAGTTGTATAGACTTATAGCATAAATGTATATAGATATTATTCTTAACAAATAAGGTCACAAGTTAAGTATAAATTTAAACAAGTAAATACAAGCCGACCGATCTACGTATTGTCGACCCCCACTTGTTATTCCTTGTGATCACGCGCAAACATGGTGATCGACAACACGTAGATCGGTCGGCTTGTATTTACTTGTTTAAATTTATACGTTAACTTGTGATCTTATTTGTTAAGAATAATATCTATATACATTTATACTATAAGTCTATACATCCTGCCTACAGCCTACCAGTTAATGGCAATTAATTTTCGCACATTCGTTATATATCGGAAGTAGGTATAGTTTACACAGTTTATTGATCGCACGCTTAAAATTTTCGTTCGCAGTCTTTAGTGTAACAATGCATACCTAATTATTGTCTGCCCCTTCGTGGGTCTCGATTATTTTGCCTAACTTCCATTTTAAGGGAGGCATATTTTTCTCTTGTATTAATACAATGTCGTCTATCGCTAAATTTGGTTTTTCGGATTTCCATTTGCATCTTTCCTGCAATGAAGTCAAATATTCTGTGTTCCACCGATTTCAAAAATCTCGAGCGATTTTTTCTGGACCAGCAACGATCCAGTCTATTTATTGGTATCTCGGTTGCATCAATGTCTACTAGACTGGTTAGTAGCTTGCCGATCAGAAAATGCCCCAGTGTGAGGGGCTGTAAATCCACGGGTGCGGAAGGCAATTGACAAATCGGTCGCGAATTTAAACATGCCTCGATTTGTATTAACACGGTGGCTAACTCTTCGAAAGTCAGTAATGTTTCACCAATGACGCGGTTCAAATGAAATTTGCAAGATTTTACTCCTGCTTCCCATAATCCGCCCATATGAGGCGACGATGGGGGAATAAACTTCCATTGAATATTATTGGGAATGCATATTGTACCGTTTATTTTCTGAGCCCTTTCTATAATATTATTTGTTGCATTTCGTAAAATTTGTTTTTTGCTCCGACAAAAGTTTAACTCGAAAACTGACTGGATTTACATCATGCCAAATCAGTCGGATTGCAGTCGGAGTGCAAGTGGAATAGGTTTATGTATGATCGGACACATACCCGAATAATGCACGGCGTGCATAAAAGCTGTCAAAATTAACTAAACAATTTTTCCACACTTGAAGTCGCAGTTGAAAAAAAACAACATGTATGTAGTGACGTATCGTAATTCGCATATTACATTTGACTATGATTATCATCCAAAATTATTGTAAATTATTGTATGCTGTATCGATATGGTAATAATGTAAAATTTAGAAACAAAACAAGTAAATTTATTTTTTATTTAATATTATCAATATTATCAATATTATATATATTAATATTATTTTGTTAGTCATTTTAGAAAGTTTATTTTATAAGCTGAATTTTAGAAAAAGAAATTTGTGTGTAAACGCAAGTATGGATATATAAATTTATGATATTTATTTTAAAAGAGTTGATCTGATAGTTTAGTGTTTCAAAAATGATTTATGATGATTATTAATCTATATTTAATATATTTTTTGTAACTTTATATTAATCGACCTTTTATTTTTCAACTAAGGCAGGAACTATTTTTATGATGACACTGTTTCTGTTATAATAATTGCGATCAGCGTGATGGATCATTTGGAACATGGAAGAAAACTTAATAACTATATGTAACAATTGTCAGTGTTAATGAAACCTTGATCAGTTTCCGATGAAACATTGGTCTCAGAGATTTAATTACGTCCACGTTTGATTGATTATCGGGGCTTCCTTTGAAGAAGGTTGCAATTGTTCATCGATTTCTCGATATCTCGTAATCATCAAATTATTCTTTCGTTATTTTTTTATTTGTCCTGTCAACTACATTCCTGTTTATTTTACTTTTATTTATATTTTCTGATAAACCGTTTTGCGTTAACTTGTCAATTATATACTGAGATCAAATATTGCGATATTATTTTAAATCTTGAACTTTACACAGTTTGTATACTAACAATAAGATCAACAATACGCGGATGCTAAACATTGTAATAACGTTGTATATAATAATTGGATTATTACACATTCTGCGACGCAAATACGTATATGTTTCTCTTGGTGGATAATAAAGATACGATCTTACTTTACGAACAATAAAATGGATTTTATTCTACTATCATGGCTACTTTATAACTTTATTATTTTATGAACTCATGCGTCCTCTAATGACGTTTATTCTCTAATAGCAACTGGCGAGTGATGCGAGGATATGTTCTTAAAGAAAGTATTTTGATAATAAATAATTATCAGAATACGTGTAATTCATAATTAATTTATAATGGAATTTTATAATATATAAATTATTCTAAATTACTTACAAGATACTTTATTATATTATTTCTCTTTCATTTTAATTCTATCGATTCAGAAGTTTTAAAAATTTCTGCAGTAGCTTTTAAATGTTAAACAAATATTAAACTGAAATTATAATAAATTAATTTTAAATAATTATTAAGAGAATTGCTTCTTATTTATGAAAGACATTTGAGTTTAGGAAAATGTACCAAGACAATTAATTTATAAAATCAGTATTGCATAAATAATGTTTATGTATTCATATGAAGCTGCCCTCTCCCCTTCTCTTTCTTTCTCTTTTTTCTCTCTCTTGTTAGAGACGTTGCTAAAAAGATAACTTTTTTTTATTAAGCGTGAATAATTTCGTAATATCTTGGCACATATATTGTACGGAGTATATTGAAATGTTCATCCCTAGAGCATTCACATAAAGACAAAACGTGGAAATAAAATGGTGTCGAGAAAAGGTAAGGAGAAAGTAGGAGATATATAAGGAGAGTTCTAAGATTAACATCTTAATTCCGAGAGTCACCGTTAGAGAAAAGGAGAAAATAAAGGAAGAAAATAACAGATCATTAATTCGTTTTCTGTATATAGGCACAATTTTGGTAAAAACATTCTCATCAAAATTTAATGTCTAACTTTATGACTAATTATTTGTTATTTTTTGCAATTTCTATTTTTCCATCTTTTTCTACTGTCGCGCAGAAATGCAATCTAAATAATAATATAACCGTGATTGAATCATTCCATTCTTAATTTTGTTGAATCGCGATTGTAAACTATGTCAAAGAGATTAATAGTATTTTAGGCATTCCTGAAAATTTTATTGCAAAGATAAAAATGGTGAGGGACAAATGTTGTAAAGACAAATTAATATTTATAAAAAACAAGTATAAAAACGTATAAACAGTTTTGTTTTTTTACATAATTTGTCTTATTTTTTTCTTTATTATTTATATAACTTTTAAATTATTTTTAGTGAATAAAATTTGTAATAATTAAATGAATATTACACATATTTAATCTAGTAACTAATAAAAATAATGTATCATTTTCTAGAAAGAAAAGAATCATTTTTCGACCTTTTACCTTTGCGCTGCAGGAAGGATTTTCTGTGTGTAAGATTTTTAGAAACGTATAACAATATTTGCCGTAATAATTTTAATGGACCATCATAATTTTTTTCTATGTAAGACTGGTACTATAACAAAAGTAAAGATAATAAAAACAAATCAATGAAAATTTTAAATATAATTTTCTTTTTATTTGTAATATATGTTTTGCATTTAATATTTTAATGAAATTTCGTGAGTTAAAAGTGTGTATAAATATATATGTATAAAGGATATAGAAAGTTATACTTTTTCTCAGTTACATGATTTTCAACGTGTTTGCTGCTGGATGAAATATTTTCTAAATTTGCCTCTATTTTTTACTGAATATATAAAATATATCTTTTTGTACAATTATATAACTTTGTTTAATATTATCTGTTATTACAATTTATAAAATTAAATTTAGTATAAGTAGATTATTGTTAGTATAAGTAGCTTTGTCATATCATATATTTCTATGGAATATTCTGCTTCATAAAATTTATTTTCCAAAAGAAAAGGGTCATTTTCTGTAATGGTCGCGTATCAAGATCGAGTTGATATGGTCTTATAAAATGTATAGGATGCTCTTTTATTTTTGCTCTTTTCTCTTCGTGAGATATGTCCTTAAAATCCTCGGATCGCAAGCGTCCTTGATCGTATATGATTATTGATACGCAATACAAGTCTTTTTCGCCTACGAAAAATACGTTTGTCCTTTGATAATATTAATTCATGAGAATATGTGCTTATATAAATGTTGCACAAATAAAAAAATGAAGGGTCTATTTTTTCTAATTTATAACGCAATTGAAATTACAATGTAATTAAATTAAAATATGTATGTTGTAGTTTATATTAGAACGAAGCATTTATTTTACGTTTGTAGAAGATGCAGACGATCTTCAAGGTGGCGATTCTTCGGATTATACAGACAACGCTTTGGAGAATCTGATGCGAGCGGCACAAAAGTGAGTGGATTATCTAACTCGTCAATTCCGGTTTCCTTTTCCTACGATTCCTTTCAACGAGATCTCTTCCAAAATTTCCGGAATATGTCCTTTTCCTCTTCCTGTATATGTAATTTTTCTGACTGTTGCGGAAATTGAGGATATTTTACGGATGATGGAAACACACGCACACAATTATAATATAAAGAAATGCGTATATGAATGTGGACTTTACAAAACGTTATTTTTATTCTAAATTTTGATGAGATCTGTTGAGAATTTAGAAAAATTAAAAAACAAAAATTTGAACAACAATCTTTTATTTTCGCGAAAAAATTATTCTTCTAGCATGTATCGATACGTATAATATATGCATGTGCGTGACTTCGCGAGACTTACCGAGCTCGACGCTGCGAGCTTTCGGCTCCTCTCCCTTCTTTCGCCTTGATGTTTCAGTGTTGTGAAAAAGCCTTTTCTTGATTTCCCTAATCTCGAGTAGACGTACCTCGTCAATAAACTTGTTTAGGCGGGCTTGCATAAGGCGCGGCGGCGATTGTTACCACCGGCGGAAGGACTGCTGCTACAGCTCTAGTTGCCGCTGCAATCTCTGGGGTTCTAATTGCCAGTGTCAACGGATGGGTCTCTTTCAGAAGTGGGGCTAAACGATGTCTTCCCTTCCTCCCTTCGCCATATATCTTCCTATACTCACGCGTTTTGTTTCTCATATTTTCTCTTCTTTTTCTTTTCACTTCCTCTTTCTCTGCGGTCCCCCTAGAAGATTATTCTGACGACGGTATTCCCCGATAGTGTCCCCTCGAGCACATTTGGACGTTCCTTCCCGTAAAATTTAACTCACTCGATATATCTGTCCTGTGGGAACGATTTCAACGTTTTCAAGTCTTATTGCGATTTGTATTTCTTGATTAAAACAACGGCCTCGATGACACGCTTCGACATCTCTTTTTTCATGCGTTTCTGTACAGACTCTCTAGTAGAAAGAGAAATGAATGATTTTTTTAAGCTTGTGATATCATGATTGGCAATAGCTTTGCAAAATATTACGCTATTGGAAACTATTATATTACATTCTTCTACGTCTGTAAGTTCAGTCATCTAATACACATTTTTCATTGACTACCTCTCTCGCGCGATATTCGATGCTCAGGATCAACTGCGCTGAAACTAAAATCGATATGCTTAATTGATTCCCCGTCTTTTTCTAGATCGTAGCTCTGATTACAATGTAGGTAATGCGAAAATTATAATCAATTCGCAATGATAAACTTTAATGCAATCGATCCTTATCCAAAAATTACCACTTATATACGCGCGCGCATATACGTACCCCTCATAAAATTTTTGTTTGTAGAACCTATTTACCTTTTAAATCACCACGCCCAAAAAAAATCACACTAACCACAATGTCGGTCTAACAGACCGCTATTATGCTCTCGCTAACTTTATAAGTTAATTATAATAAAAATGTATGTTTTCTGAATATTTGTGATGGGAAAAAAGATCGGAAGAGCTGTGTTGAGGATTAACAAAAAAATCTCGTATACAATAGAAATAAAATTTATTTAAATGGCGACAAATAAGAAAATGGTTGACAAGTAACGTTTTAACAACGGTCTGTAAGACCGATATAGTGGTTTAAATACAATTTTCCGTCTTTTGTCCCGTATTATACTTATTTACGTATCTTAAATATACTTCACTTTTTTTATATTCTCCTCGATATTCTTCTCCTTAAACCTGACCTTTTTCCGTCATTTCATCTTCATCGATGAAGGTCGTCGTTGAATTGGAGCCAGAAACGCACGCTATGGCGAATGCATACTGCATTCGAAGGACCTTGGCTCACACTAATCGATCATTCCTTCAGCTGCAGCTCGTCGGATCTTCCGGATAAAATGCGCGAGGAATAAAGATATATTGTAGCTATTATGTCGAATTCTATCGTTTTGTCCCGCTGCTAATGAAATAAGTTCTGAATAGTTCTCAATAAAATTATGCGAAGTATCTGCAGAACGCATTAGTTGGTCTCTGTAAAACACAAATGTTTTTATCTATTATTCTCGAGTAAGTTCTGAACCTCATTTAATTATATTTGTAAATACAAAATGTAATTGAAAATTGCGTTTACTTCGTGACGACAATCCTTTTTATTTAGAGAGGAATTACTATTTACTTTTTAAATACAAAAAATTTAATAACAATTTAAAAATTTAAATTTGATAACAATATAAAGTACTGTAAAAAATTATAAGTGAAAATTAATGCGTTTATATTAATGAACGTTTCAAATAGCTAATTGATTCTCGCGCATCGTACGTTACTCCTTTCGGCGACCTTTCTGAATCTTTAAAAATTAAACTACAAAAGATCTTCCTATTAATAATAAAAATATGGAAAATTCGGATGATATTTAATACAAGAAATATGATTTTTTCCGAGTCAAACTGAATGAGACTCAATTCTCGGGTTTTCGGGACTTCGCAATCCTCCTGGACAGGAAAAGAAATTGGAAAATGTTAGCAGAAAGATAACGCGATAAACTATAGGAATTACTACCCTCTGATTGGAGATAACTCTCCGGCCACTTTCGCCAATCAGATCGTCGGTCTTCCTCAACTTAGTCATTTTGTCGAGAATGATTGCGAGTAATCGATAGGATAATTGAAATTGATGTAAAACGACAGATTTTTTCCAGTTGAGTACGGATATGATGATGAAGAAGATATGGAATTATTGTATAGTCATGAGCACAGAGATCGAATAATTAATATGTAATATGTGTCTAAAACGGCGGTGATTTATCTAAAAGCGTACCTTGATAGCGTACGTATATATAGGTACAGATTGATCCGCAAAATTTACATTTTCCCCATAACCGCATCTTAAACTCTAAACGTATTACCTACATGTATGATTATAAAGGAAATATTACAATAATAGATGTTTATGCATTGTATTTGAAGGTGGATGTACACGTACTGATATATCATGGAAATATAATATATATTATATATGTACACGTGAAATGTGTGTAATTCTTTTTTATTCTACGGTCCCATATCGTTATGATAATTTAATTTGCAGTTTATTTTCATTTTCAAGGCGTGTAATTTTCTCAATATTTCATTCTCAAGCTGGTAAGTGTACAAATTAATTCCTTTTCTCGAGTGTATTAAGTGCAAGCGCGTAAAACGATTAAACATTAAAGATTTTAACGTCTTAAGTCGGACTTCGTAATTAGTTTCTTTTTCCAAGACCGTCTTAAGTAATGTCTTGAAATACTAATGCGGTTCTGTTGACTTATAACATATATCTTAAGACTGTATTTAAGATGGTCTGAAATAGTCGGTAAATCGACTATGAATTCTGAATATAAAGCTGTTTGGGATTTTCAAAGTTCAATTTTATCTATACTTTGATTATTAATAAAAATTACAAATTTAAAAACACGACTCTGAAATAAGTAAACAAAAAAAAAAAATTCTGAATATAAAGCTGTTTGGGATTTTCAAAGTTCAATTTTATCTATACTTTGATTATTAGTAAAAATTACAAATTTAAAAACACGACTCTGAAATAAGTAAACAAAAAATAAATGAATAAAAGGATGTAGTTTTTCGTTTATTGCACCTGCGAAGGCAATTGATCACCTTCAAAGTCACGATGACCTCTTCCTTGCTAGGCCGAAGAGGCAACGTCATGCTAGACCCGCAGGTCAAGTAACTGGATCGTAACGTACAATTTAACTCCCAACGCGATTTTCTTACGGCAAAGAATTACTTGGCAAGTTATATTATATAAGCATGTAGTCCTTTTTACTAATATCCTTCATTTATGTAAATCGATATGAAATGTGAGAAATAATATATTATCATATAAAGTTGCTTGCGATTAATTATAGATGCAATTCCATTATTTTAAAAAATATCACATTATTTTATTTTTTACAACAAAAAATAAATCTTTAACAATATGCATGATTTTTTACAAATCCAAACAATTCAAAAGTTTCTCTTCTTTGCATTTGATTTAATGTCAATTTCTTTTGTACATTTTCAAGTATCAGTATTCAAGTATTATTCAAGTCTCATTGTCAGATTAGATAGAAGAAATAGAATTGACATGAAATTAAATGAAGACTAAAGCTTTTATTAACTACAATCTACACGCATCTCTGAAGTTAAATTGGAATCGTAGAAATTCTATCAATAATTTATAAACCATAAAACTTAATATTTTTACAAATAGCATTATTTCTTTTGCTGCTAGAATTTATAACACCGCGGTGTGCGCGAGGATTATATATCATAGATGTACAATGGCAACACTTGCTATTTTATTTAATTTTGGCAAAAATACGAATTAATAATTAATATAATAACATATACAATACATTTTGAATATGAATGGTTAGGAAAGTACTATTAAATAAGTTAAATTTTAGACTAATATAACTAACAATAAGTAAAAAAGTTATTAATCTTTGCATAATCTTATTAATTAGTAGATTTAGTAACGTATTGATATTTTTTATTATTCGCGCGTTATTTCACGTATTATATTTCCCACATTCAATATTGTTTCAACAAAAAACTGATAAAGAGTAACAGAGCGACATGCTATCGTAGGTTCTTCTAATTGAAGTATATATTTCTAACACTACATCGATCTCGATCTTGATCTCGCGCGGGAGGTAGAGAAGAAAAGGTTAAACGAGTTAACCCCATGGAACCTCGATGACCCATGTCCTCGGTCCGTGTCGACTCTATATCGTAAATAATCTGTTAGTAATTTAATACAACGGGTATCTTGGATACATTCTTAGAATATTTTACTATTCGTGCCGCGTCTTTTGATTAATCGTTTAATTGTTTCGGAGGAATTGAAAATACCTGTATTTTCTGAAAATATGTCAAGAATGAAACAAATTTAAATTAATAGATAAATTGAACGATTTCTCAGTCTAAAATGCCACTTTAAAGAATGAAACACATTTGTGTTTACAAAAAAAGTTTAGGTTTTTTTATAGATTAGATGTTTAAACAATTGTGTAAAACTAAACTCAGATTTCTAGCTTTAATAATAACAGAATATCATTTTCATATTTAGTTTTAATTTTGTCAAGATTATTTATTAAATACGGTATAGTATCGCTCATAATTATTTAAACGATATAGATATTTTATTCTTTACTCCGATTTTGAAAACTGAATAAATCCCATAATGTTGTCAACACAAATAATAAATTTTAGATTAATCGTTGTAATTGTAATACGTAATCTAAATTTAAAATATTGAAACAACGTTTATTGGACTATTTTTGAATCGATAGTACCTATATTGAACATTTCTCATTTTATTTTATTATTACAATCTATTGTATTTATAATTACAATAGGTTGTAATAAAAACTAATAACAATTACTCAAATACATAATATTGATTCAATAATAGTTGGTGATAATTTGATGTGAACGTTATCTCAATAATTTAGAATGCAACAAAAACAGAGTGTCAATTGTTCTAATAATTATCTGTGTTAACAGTATATAACACTTACTTAGTTTTTAAAATAAAGTACGGAGTTTAAAATAAACAGGATTGGGTAGTAACTAGTTAAAAAATTAAAAGTTAAATAATTAATAACTTTCATTTAACTTAATTTAATTAATTTTACACAAGTTAACTATTAATTTCAACTAGTTATTTTTAAATATACATAAACTTTAATTTATTAATTTTTGTCTAAGTTAAAAATTTACCTATTTAAAAGAAAAAAACATTTTCATATAAAGAAAATATTTCGTTGTTATTTCATATAAACTTAATTATTTTATTTTTAAAAATAACGACATTTTAATTTAATATAAATGATGGTTTTTAAAATTAACTAGTAATTTAACTTTAATTAATTTAATCTTAACGCAAGTTTTATACTGAGTTAGTTTCGTTCATACAACTTTTAACTTAACTAAATTAATTTTGTAAGTCATTAACTTTAATTTAATTTAGTTTTTAAAAAATATTTACTTACCCAACCTTGAAAATAAAGTATAAAAAATATCTGTCGTTTGAATAATTATGAGCGGTAGTGTATATTATTATAAAGTAAGTGTCACGAGGAAAAGAATTTATTTTAAATTTACGCGGCTACTTAGGTGTTAACATCGCTCACATACTCGCGTTTTTCATTTTAATTTTTAACAGAGAATACACATTTTAAACTCATTAGTGTTATTTTTTTATTAAATTAAAACAAATCAATCTCGCCTTAATTCACGTAATGACAAAAACACTTTATGATGAGATTCTTTAACTAAATTATAAATAATTTCAGTAATGGACAGTAATGAGAGAGGTGATTCGTATATGTATGTCAGTGATGCAAT